GGTTGGAGTGAGGAGTCTTTGGGGCTCCCTGAGCTGGGGGGGGGGGGTTTCCTTGCATTGCGATCCCTGGCACTAAGGGATGTTTACAAGATCAATCAAGCTCAGAGAGCACCAAGGATGAATCTCGTAGTCTCCTCTTCCACCTCCTCCTCCTCCTCCCTTCTGCAAATCCCACTTCCTTCTAAACCTGATGATGTTACCTAGATGGGCCATGAAATGTCTGCATGAAAAGAACCAAGTTCAGAGAGCACCAAGACCCCACGCTCCTCCTCCTCCTCCTCCTCCTTGCCCTGATGATGTTACCTAGCTTGGGTCATGAAATGTCTGCAAGACACCCACCAAGCTCAGAGAGGACCAAGGACCCCACCCCTCCGTCTCTGCTTACAGGAGTCCTGAGCTTGCCAGGCCGGTCCCCTGGACGTTGTGTTGAGGGGGAGGGTCTCCCCTCCGGTCTCCCAGCAATGGACCCCTCAGGCCCCACCCCTCTACCAGCAAGGCCCCCTTTTCTAAGCCCCTCCCTCTCTCGAAGCACCGCAGAGCTGCTGAGCCCAGGAGAAGCGGCCTGTTAGAGTGGGGGGAGCCCCCCCCGAAGGAGCCCGTGCCCACAAGTACCTCCAGGTAAGGGACGGGGGTGTCCGGGTTGAGGGGGTACTCCCTCAGCAGCCGCTCTTCGTCCAGGAACTTCCCCGCCCGGCCGTTGAAGGCCGGCTGGAAGAGGCCATAGTTGAGGACGTCCTTCAGGCTGTGGTTCAGGGTGCAAAGGATGCGCTGCTTGGAGGTCCAGATGGGGACATCGGGGTTCAGCCGCAGACACTTCTGTGGAGGGAGGGAGACAGGCAAAAAAAGGGGGAGGTTTGTCAGAAGCCATCCAGGCAGGGAGGGGGGGTCACAGCCCAGCTGGAGTGGGCCCTGCCCATTGGCATCTCATCTACGTTCGCTTGGCACCTGGCACAGAGCAGGTGGATCTGCAGGATGGATTCACATTTCCCACCCTAAAATACGAAGGTTAAAAAGGCCCGTATTCAGACACGGGAGGCCTCCATCCGCCACGGTCCAAAGCTACGAGGGCCCCCAAGAAATGGGGACTGATGGCCGTTTTTGTGCAGTTATGACCTTTGCGACGCCCCCCCCCCCGGGTCACCAGGTCAAATTTCGGACACTTGGCAAGGGGTTGGCATCTATGACGGCTGCTGTGTCCTGGCGCCTTTGGTCAATGGGGGAGCCGGATTCATCTAACAACCTGGCTCGTCAGGATAACCTCGTGGCGCAGTGGTTAGGGTGCAGCACTGCAGGCCACTTCAGCTGACTGCTATCTGCAGTTTGGCGGTTCAAATCTCACC